TCGACTGTACAACAATGTCAACTACTGCCTTGAATGCCCATTATAATTTTCAGTATATGAGTTGACATAGCACTAAATAAGTTTGTGACAGGAAGATAACTTTCGAATATAATAAAAAACAAAGACATTATTAGCAAACTTTAACAGCTGTACATCACTTTATTCTACATGCACTCAGACAAGTGTCCTTAGAAATTATTGTTAATTTCTTTTACTGCTTGATACACTGTTATCTGTGTTATCTGTAAAACAATAATAAATTACTAGCCTCTTAAAGGGACTATTTGTAATCCAACTAAAAAGCTAAAACTTTTCCGGCACCAATTGAATTTCAAATATAATAGGCCCACCTTTGTAAGTCTTATGCATTGCTTGCAAAACCCACCAAAATTATTATGTTTAGTGCTCCCTTATGAAATTTGTTTGACATCTTCATTCTTCGACAGGAACAATTTGTTTATGCAGAAAAGCACAAACAAAACAAAACAAAATTGTTTCCCGAGGGACCAGCCTTTAAGTGATTTGTTATACAGCTGGAAATTTTAAAGCTGGAAATTCATTAAACCTAGCTGTAATGGAGGTCATCGGTCAACATTCACAGGTAACATTGCATTGTTACCCTCTGGCGACATAGATTTTTTGCAATGTTGCCCGCTCAGAGATTTTGGCAAGAAAAAGTTTCATTGTTAGATGTCATGTCACCTCAAAGTAGCCAATGAGACCGTGCGCTGTTGAAAAGAAATTTCCAGCTATATAACAACACCGAATATTGACCATGCAAAAACAGCAATATCCTTGTGACATAGTCCCTTTAACTATTCTAAGTACAGCTATCAAGGGTATAGATCTGTCTGAGGGTTAAAAACAACTGAGAAAATGATTTGAACAAAAGTAAAAGAAACCCAGGTTAAATTTAACCCTGGGTTAAGTGCTAATTTGCCTTCGAACAACTGGGCCCTGGAGATAAATAAGACATAAGAGGCTCTTTCCTTTTTTTTCAAAGGAAATTAATTTACATCCTCAGATTGACTTTTTTCTTTACCATGTAATGCAGAAACTAATAAATCTAAGCTTCCTGTACTAAAAAACATACAAATTCAATGTATATGCTTTCACTGCCATCATGCACATATTTCATATATAGATATAGATATTAACTTCTGATCATGGGTATCTGTAAAAGCCACTACCTTCTTAATTCTGACATTTTCCTTTCATTAACAAAGGAGGTCCTTTTACTGATATTTTGGACCTGTGACAGGTTAGTCTGCTCTTTAAAAGAAACACTTATCATTGATATGACACCAGGACAGTCTCATATTTTTACCAGCATAATTGTATTACGTGAACAGTGCATTTATGCAGGAAGTACTTAAGATTATTCCTTAAATACTAATAATTGCAAGGAACCATATGACCTAATACTGTATGCATATTTAAATAATTATTTGACCACGGTTGATTAACGTGCATTACAACTACGTACATATATGTACGTAGAAGTTCCCGTCTAAATTCAATTAAATCTTATGGCAAAGAGATAACCTGATTTCCTTAATCAATTAACTAGTCAGCTCACTCCAGTTGAAAAAAAAGTTATGGAAAAAAGAAAGGAAACTGCATAACATGAAAAGAGCCAGGTCAAAAGATCACCTACATGTTTGCAACAGATAGACAAATGTGCATGACAGTACTTAATAACCAGATGCATCATCTACTGCACATCGGAAATTATAAAGGGCAATTTATGAATTACTTTTGAACTGAACAGTTTAATAACCAAAGTACAAACTACATTCCTTTTTCTAAATTAAAACATGATTAACAAATACTTTTGAAATCTATCACATCATCACCGTCACTTACACTAAAAGAAATTTCATCAAGAGACTGTATGAAGCAATAATTTTAAACATGCAGTATCCTATAATATGCATGTGCAATATACGCAAACGAATATCATTAATCAGGATGCCTACATCAATCACACCAGTTTCAAATAATCCTATTTGTCCAAGAAGAATGATGTGTGATGGCAGCTGGAAGTTGAGTGTGGATGGTTTTGGGAATAACGGGCAATAGGCAAGTGGTCAGCACAATAATGAAGACAAAAGTGACTGAAAGTTTGTTCCTCAAACAGATTTTCCTCTTCTTAGGGTGTCACTGGGCTCCCCAATTATTCTTTCATATGGAAAACACCACCAAGCAGTAGGAGGACCCCAGTCAGGGTGCAAAGAAAGTCAGTTTTACAGCCTGCCATTCGGGCAAGCTGTAGCTAGCATGTACTAGCCCACAAGTCATTTCAACTAGCCCCAAAACCCTTTTTGATTCGCAGGATTGATTACAATCCTTTTGTAATTTGAATTACCCAAAAAAACAGCACTTCCCCATTGGGCAAGTTAAGAACAAAAATCACTCGCCCGATACCAAAATCCACTAGCCCGGGCTATTGGACGTGACTTTCTTTGCACGCTGACCCCAGTTTAAGATTTGTTCTGGTAAGTTCAGAACCATGTGGTAGTTTACACTGACAGAGTGCTTACCAAACATTTTTGCATACAGGCAATGGTGTTGTTGTAAAAGGTTTTCCAAAAAGATATCAGATTTGAATGCAATGAATGGTAACTGTTAACTGGTGCAAATCCTTCCCAATGGACTATCATTCATTCATTTACTTAGGTTTGCTACTAGGTAGTAGTTTGCCCTTACCTGCATTAAAACCACCCCATGAATCAAACGCCTGACATTGAAGATTTTACCTTGCTTGTAAAACAACCCTGAAAGAGCATGAAGACCAGATGAACTATCCACACCATGATTAGGGTTAGCGAACCGATACCAGTCAACATATGCAAAACCATGTGTCTATCTTCTAGAATTCCCTCTTTGCGAAAAATGAACTGTCGCTGAAAAAAAAAACATTACTCGTGCAAAGTAGGAAGAGACCCTATTAACACCTTGAATATCACGGTCTACACAGTATGCAAGTATAGTGCTGCCACGCTCTGTTCTGTTAAACTGTGAGGAGAATGTTGTTCCATTCACCTTGCATCTAGCAAACATGTCAAAGTGAGGCTCTACCAAAAACAAATGCATCTTTCCACAGCTGTTTGAAGTAAACCTTTAAGTCTTTTTAAAATGATAACTGAACATTCTTGTTTACTCTCTTGGGTGGATAAGCAAAACAACAGGCCACGAGGATGGGAGAAATTCCTCCATTTCAACAACCACAAATGGCTCACCTACTCTTAATAAAGAAAACCTAGAACTTACCTTTCCACTGAAAAAATCTTCTGCATCCCTTCCTAGTTGATTAAGATGATTTTCTGGAATGCTATCTGTAATGGTGTTTCCAAAAGATGTGTAATGGCAGCTCAAGGCTGTCACTAAGAGCTGGGGGCTGGGGCTTTTCCCCGGCTACTATGAGCGTGAGCCTCAGCTACTCCCATAGTCGAAAGGAAAACAGCACCAAAAGAACTTCCTCGCTGTACAATTCCCCTCCTACTAATTTCCTATTCCCGGCAACTTGAAATTTTAGTGACAGCCCAGGCATCTGGAATTACAATGTTGAAGAAAAAAGTGACTGAATATTAGTTCCTTGACAGATTTTCCACTTGTTGGGGTGTCACTGAGCTCCCCAATTCTTCTTTCAAATGGACAACACCACCACGCAGTAGAAGGACCCCCAGTTTAAGATTTGTTCTGGTAAGTGTAGAACCATGTGGTAGTTTACACAGACCCCCACCAAAACTTTTTGCATACAGGCGATGGTGTTGTTGTCTAAGATTTTCCAAAAGACATCAGATTCAATTGCAAGGAATGGTAACTGTTAACTGGTGCAAATTCTGCCCAATGGATTATCATTTATTTATTTACTTAGGTCTGGTACAAGGTAGTAGTTTGCCCTTACCTGCATTAAAACAATCCTACGAATCAAACGCCCGACATTGATGATGTTATCTTGCTTGTAAAACAGAAAGAGCATGAAGACCAGATGAACTATCCACACAATGATTAGGGTTAGCAAAACGATACCAGTCAACATATGCCAAACTATGTGTCTTTCTTCTAGAATTCCCTCCTTGCGAAAAATGAAGTGTGGCTGAAAAAAAGAACGTTACTTGTGCAAAGTAGGAAGAGACCCTTTCAACACCTTGAATATCACGGTCTACACAGTATGCAAGTATAGTGCTGCCACGTCATTACAGAAACGCGCCCATTCAAAAACGTCGATCGTGAAAATGCAAATAAGTGAAAAATGACGTTAATTTAGTGTCAATCAAGAAATCCCCTGGGTATATTCCTTTCCTGGTTATTGTTCCTGCTCAGACATCCGCAACATTTGCCTATTCTTCGATGAAGAATAGAACTTCACGCGACTAACAATAGCTCAGTCTGTTTAAAAACTGTCTAAATTTACTCCGAATTAGCATGTGACTTTTTGCTGTTAAACGCTTCAGAATTGAAAAATCCTCGATGATTGTTGTTGATTTTGCCGTAAATAATTCAATGCACTGACTTAAAATGAATTTCTACCTTTTACAAACTTCTTGGTGTTCGAATCGATCGATGAAATATGAGCGCAACCGATGCGTTGATAGTTTCTTTACATTTTGTCACGGGTTTTGGATAATATTATAACCCTTAAAATTTACGGGAAAATTCGACGAAAAAGCACTCTCACTTACATTCTTCATTTAAGATATTGATTTTAGCAAAGTATAAGGCAAAATTAAGAGCGATACTTTCTTTAAGAACGCTATAACTACATATTTAACGGCCAAACCTAAACAGCGATCTAATCCGTCTCTTGAAAACAACTACAATACCGCTTCTGATAATGAACGATTATCCTATGGTAGTTAATGCGTAGCTAAAACCACAGGGAGCTGTAGAAATCCTACAAGATAAGCCAATCAGATCTCTCGATTCATTAAAGTTATTTTTGGTATCGTTTCTCCTTGGTTATCAATTACATGCATTTTGTCTTCGGTTCGAGTATGGGCAAAACCAAGAATTTCAAGGGGCGAAGCTCAAATGTGGAGCGCTATTTAAATAGTTGTGGCCGAGAAATTGACATTTCGGGTCTAATAGCGCCAAATCTTGCTGCTGGAGCAAGACTTGCAGCAAAAAACGAAAGTTCTTCTTTGGACGAAAAGACTGCAAGAACCTACGAGCTACGGCTCATTGCACTGGAAACGTTTGCTGCCCAGAACGGCGACGATGCTGTACTGTTCGGGCCAAACAAAAGGCCCTTTTTAGCGGCCACATTACAAACCTTCATGCGTAAGTATTACTTCTCCCAGTGTAACGATCTCAGTAATAACAGAAGACGCAAGTTACGACAAAATCGGCTATGAATGACCATGCGGTTACGAGTGAAATTTTTATTTGATGCGCCTGTAGTTAAAGTTAAATTTACGTTTTACACTGTATTTAACTGCATGACTTTTGTTCAAAGGAGACCTGATTTCCATCACATACAATTACGATTCGTTACCACAGTTTGCACTATAAACGCAAAACCTGGTTAAAGAAAACTAAGACATTTTTTAAAGCGATCGCAAAATGTGGCATATCTACTAAACCATCAATTGCGTTAACGCAATATGTGGTATAAGAAGTAAAGGCATAGTACATACTTCTGAAACCACAGTTTGCAATAACGCAAAACCTTTTTGAAGGAAAAGTAAGACAAAAAACTAAGCGATCTCAAAATGTGGTATATGCACTAAAACCATAAATTGCGTTAACGCAATATGTGGCATAAAAAGTGAAGACCATAGTTTTTTTTAAAAAAAGGTAGTTTCTTTTAAATATACACTTGAATAAGAAGTTGTCTGAAACGAAAAGGAAAATAAGTGCTTGTTTCACTTGCGGGGATTGTAAAAATTGGCGCGAAAAGCGTGTGCTCTGTACGTAGTTCACTCCCAGGCCAGGTTACCCAGTATATCGGGCCGTTCAAGATGGCGTTGACTTTACGTAAAATGTCCATGACAAGGTTTCCCAAGGTTTTTTTTATGAGAATTGCGACAAGCTTCAACTCTTTTTGAAGCCCATCTGCAGGGAGACCAAAATCTAGATGAATTTTTTCTTCGGCGTGTAAAATCGGTGAGCAATTAACCAGTATATAAGTGTTTTTATATTTGTCTGAGCATATAAAACGAATGCTGACGAATGATTATTTTAATATTTCAAATATTATACCACTACATGAGAAATTTCTGCAATTTGATTGGCTTAGAACAGTGGTATTTCAGCTTAATTTGAAATACCTACATGTGAAAATTACAAACCTTTTGTGGGTAGTAGTATAAACAAATAATAGCATGATTTGTACGTGAAATTTGGCATAAATACCACTCGTGATATTTCAAAATTGTCACAAATTACCTATAACAATTTCGAAATATCACTTGTGGTATTTATGCCAAATATCACTCCAAATCATGCTATTACCTATACAAATACTCTGGCATACAGGATAATTATATACCTCATTAGACTATTTTTTTGCCTTTTTATGATATTCTCTAAAAAAGCTTAAGCGTATTAAAATCATAACACTTGTTTTTACAGAGGTGATGGGAGAAAACAAAAGAAAAAAAATTGGAACATTACGCTGTCGTGGACTGAAGCCTCCTGTTATCAGGGGCCACGCAGCGGCTTTCAACTATTGGTTTGGTGCCTTTGGGCACACTGAACAATATAGTGAAACCGTTATTACGGCTGATGATGGGTCTCGACGAGTAATTCCAAAGGGAAACCCCATGTCTTCACCTGGTAGGTTATGAAATGAGTCAAGGAGTAATCTTTGCGGCTATTGTCTGATTCTGATTGGTTTACATTGCTCACAATTCTGCGCACGTAGCCAGATGTTGTGTTTAATACCCTTTTATTCCATAAATGATATAATAATACTATAAGTACATGTTGTAAATACTCTGTACAAACTGGTGGGGTGGGGACAGGGGGGTCTGAATCTCCCGCCTCCCGTACCTTTTACTCTCACTCCCCGCCCCCTTCCATATGGGTTCCCACCTCTTTGTTTTATTTATATTGTAAGATTTTACGCAATATTGCAAAAATTTTCCTTTTCTCCAGGTTGCCGCCACTTTGGGAATCCCGCTTCCCGCTGTTTCTCCTCCCGCCTCCTGTACACCTCCTGCCCCTATTCTCCCGGGCTCCCGCCCCCCTCCACAAACTGGGAGTGATATAAACTCAATCACATTGCTAAACCAATTAGATTATGAGCTCAATTATGGTTTCGCCCTCATCAACTATCAAGCTGTGGAAATTGAGTGAGAGTAATTGTTTTAGTATCAATCTACTTGTCATTCAAAACGTAGCAACAAAATTACTCCAATCTTCTTCAGAGACACTGAAAATGGCTTACAAATACAATAAAGCAGCCCCCATTTTGTTAACAATCGCTACTTACTAATCTATCACAGAATAAATAACAGGTAGCCAAATCAGAAAACAGCATTGGGGATTGAATGCTATTAGATTCTTACCATATTGCCTGTCCCAGCTGAATACCGGGATTGATTTTTTTTTTGGTATCTAATGGTATGTGAAAGAGACCCTCTTGTAAGAAGAATTTTTTGTTAAGTTATAGATGTCAAATGGGCCACATTTTTTCTTCCAAAGAAACCTAGTACTAAAATCCGATACTTGATATTGTTTTATAATTCCGTCATATTTGTTCACAGCTGTACAGCAAACAATTAAGCAGCTTTGTAAGAGGGCACTTCGACCTACTACAAAAGATCTGCATCGAGGAAGAGTGCCCTACGAGCCAAAAAAAGCCCTGCCGTTTTCACTTGTGCAGTTACTGCGTATGCGTCAATACTGTTTGAAGACGGTGGAGGTATTCATATTTAATAAGTTTTTTGTAATTGCCATAGGTGGGTCTGAAACTATAATTTAAGAGCGCAAGTCATGGAAAACCTGAAAAGTCATGGAATTTTATAACTTAACTTTTCAAATTTCCAGTTTCCCAGTTTCACATTTGTTACTGAAGAACCTGCAGTGGTCCCAGGGTAAACAGCAATAAAATGTCATGCTGATTTTATAAAGCAAGACCAAAATTTACTATTAAGCAACACGAAAAACTTTTGTCACTATTTTGCCCAGGGTACTACCACGAATAGGTTCGTTTTCATCCACCAAAAACTCCCTACTCAAATCAAGCTACCAAAAAATTTGCCATATTTTCGTACCCAAAAAATCCCTGAATCCAAAATTTCAAACCCAAAAAAGTCCTTTGATCATCCCCGTCAATTGAAATCCTGAGTACCCCCCATCCCCTGGGGCAGTGGAAGAACAGGTTCACACACTGGGCACCAAAGCACTCTAAGTTTATCATTTGGGGATAATGTACCTGATCGATAGCTTGAACTCATGCACCTTAATTATAACAGCTCAATTAATATTCGTCCTGTCTATATTTGAAGAACTTGTTTTATTAGATTTTAGATCCTGAATTCCAGAGGGTGAACTCACTCTGACACTGACACCATTTGGACCAGCACCATCTGTTCTAAGTTACAGATGGGTGTCATGGGTGTCTAGCTTATAGAAAGTTAACATACTGTTGAATTATTAATAAAAAAACAATGTGCAAGGAACAACATTAGTTGTCCATCTTGTAGAGATGTCTGTCTTAGAGAGATGTTTGTTAAGAGAGAGTTAACTTAATGTGCCTACAGTTCACTCATTTTATGTTGTGTTATTAGGGTATGCGTGGTCTTTGGATGTGGACCATCACACTGTTTTCATTTGCCTTGTTTCTCAGAGGGGAGGAACCATTACGGTTAAAACTGAGGCATTTAAAATTGCCATCAAACTATTCAGGTAGTACTCAGCCTTTTCTTAATTTTTGCATGTATATAGTGCATATTTTTAATTTAAATATTATAATGGCTTGGCACCCTCAATCGATCAGTAAAAAATTATTGATAGTGGTTGTGGTTGTTGGGTGTGCTTGTTCATTTCTTTGTTGTTCTCGAGACAACCCTTGATCAAGAACCTTTGTTTTGCTCAAGGAAACTTTGACTTGAACTTTTTTTTCTTGTAGTTAATTGCGGAAATGTACCTCAACGCATCGAGGTCAAGATTCCATGGTCTAAAGCAGACAGGAAAGCTAAAGGTGACCTTTTATTGAAATATCAATTTCAACTAAAGTTAATCTGTAAAGCAATGTTATGGCTACATTTTCCCCATAACACAACAGCAGTCATTTGTGTTTAGCAGTATTTCATAATCGTGTAAAAGGCATGAGGGCCTAATTGTTGTGCACTGGGCTCATGATATCAAATCAGCCTGTAATCAAGTCAGAACTAGTCAGCACACTTTGTGTTCTCGTGACACAGTTAAAACACCTCCCCCAGTTTTTTACATTTGAACGCCCTCGCCCCCCCCCCACTAATGCTTTCCCTTTGCTTATATGTTTTTGCTGTTGAGACACCCCTCCACACAGTACAGTGCCTCTAGCTGCCTGCTGAGGTAACCTTACTATGCAGTAGCAATATCATACAAGAGGTGTTTAAATAATCCGCTTTTAACAATGCACAATTGTATATGCTAATCAAAATGGGTTTGTCATTTCTCTGAAAACACTTCATTTTAGTTGTCATTCATCCCATCTAATCTGTACACACTCTGCTTATGCAACATTATCGCTTGCTTTTTTTATAGGGGTGACTCTTTCCCTTTGGGCAAACCCTCTAAACCGGGAATTGTGCCCTGTTTCTGCCCTTTTTGTGTGGCTTCTCATCACAGGTTTGTGTAACAAGTTATTGTTGTTTTCAATTGGTTTTGTAATTTGTTTGGCATCCAAGTCGTATCGTGTTCTACCTACTCATTGTACAATTTCTGTCATTTTTCCCTTTTAGGTATGAAAAAGGGAAACAATTACATTTTTCCCAGGGTTGCAAAAAACAACAGAGCTGTGCAGCTAAACTCTTCACGAGGTGTAACATCATATAGGAAGCAGTTTACAGAGGTATTACTGCATTTTTACAAAGAAAAAGATTGCTTATAAAGCCTTTGTCAATTTTTAACCTTTTTTGTTTGTTGTTAATATTTGTTTTTTTTTTTTTTGTCTTGATCATGTAGATGTCAAAAACATTGTTTGAAACCGAGTTCAGCACTCACAGTATTCGCCGTTCCGCAGCCAGATGGGCAGCCCGTTGTGGAGCAAATGATACCTCTATCAAAAGGGCTGGTAGATGGTATGTGAATTGTTTTTCTATATGTGTGTTTTGTTGTTGGTTTTGATTTTGTATCTTTTCATTTAATATAAGAGGGCAAATTGTACAGTGTTTTTGAGCAAATCTTTTCTGGCCACAGCAAATTAAATTTTTTGTTGGCTACAAAGTACATTAAAATTACAGTCAAACCCCTTTTATAATTATGGACACTGAAGGGACAATGCAAGGTGTCCTTATCAAAAAGGTGTCTGTTTTATAGAGGTCACTACGATGACTCCACTATTCAGTAACTAATGAGAGGTTTTGTAAGAGAAAACACGAGTAAATTAGTCTTGTTTCTAGATTAAAAACGATAAAAATTTGTTGAATCTTTTTCATTGTTGTTTTAGGAAGTCAAACAGTTTTGAACTTTACACGCAAGACGCTCGCGCTGAGATGATTAAAGAGCACCACGATGGACACCCACCCAGAGATCATAAAATGTGGATGTTTAAACCACTGCGATGACAGCAGTGTCAACTTGCATACTTATGAGTGATGACATTGAGCAGTAAATTAAAGATGTACTCTAACAGCCATTTCAATAAACTGCAATCAGCTTTGGAAAAATTAATAAATCATTTCTTTTGTTTCATTGTCACCTCAAAGTCAAGGTAGAATTTTAAAATATTGAATTTCATGTATTTTATTTATCAAATGTCCAATGCAATATTCAATTGATTACAACCGAGCTTAAAATTATTAGACATTTATATATGAATGTAGCTTCAATCTTTATTTTCTATGACAAACCAAAGCAAATTACCTAGATATGTTGATGGTCAATTCACTCTAAAGAAACATAGTGAATTTGGGTTCAATAATTTCATAGTGTTGACAAATATTGCAAACATATCTTTCAATCAATTCTCGTGTAAATAAGTTTCATTAAAAAATTCTAGTGTCAATAAACTGGAACAAACTGTAACAAGTTTTTATTTGTTGGTGATGGCTTCTTCTTTTCCCTTGAGATGACCAATCACAGATGTGGCCTTGTTCAGTGCTGCATTCTGAATAAAGCAACTGTTTGGCCTATAATTGAATGCAAGAGAAAATGAATGGCAAAGTAGATTAAATGCACTTTTTTGTATTTTGAGGATATTCTCCTATGAAAATGATGGGGTGCTCATCCAAAAGTTTTGCAAAAATAGTAAATGGTTTCAACTTCATCTACCCCCCTACGTGGCACCAATAATTCTAAAATAACAAATTAATTGACAATGGAAACAATGGAATGAATATGGTCATGGTTTTTGTCAATTTTACTTTTTCTGATTGACTACCTTTTACACCCCGTAAAGGTTTGACGAGCAGTCCAGTCTTTTTAATAGGGGATTACCCCATGTTATGTAACATTCACAAACGGGGGAATTTAAAACAGTTTTATCAAGCTTCCTCTCAACTATAACGCATCTACCGATGTTTAGCCTGGGATGGGGTGGGGCATAACAGAGTTTGACATTTTGAATGTCCACGGCAGAACAATTTTTTTTTAAGTATCAAAATTTCCCCCTATTGGGCAAGGGAAATTTGATTTCAGAGCTCAAATAGTGTCAAATTTCCCCACCTTGGGGACATCATGTACTCTAAAGCCCTACCCAGGGGACAGGCCTCTTGGTCAATTTCCTGTGGGTAGCCCAACCCCCCCCCCCCCCATTGATATTTTATTTTAAGTTACGTCGCCCCTAACCAAACTCCATATATAAAAAAAAGTCTGTCAAGAGTGAAAGAAAAATGTTTCTTGTTCTTTAGCTTTTGAGGTTATAGAACATGGGGCACAGAACCTATCCAGGGTTTGTACAGGTCATGGAAAACCTGAAAAGTCATGGAATTTTATGATTTCATTTTCCAGGCTTGGAAAGTCATGGAATTTGAGTGTTGGTCGTTGAAAGTGATGGAAAATGATGCTGATTGTACAAAATAACTAATTTACTAGGCAGATTTTCTTCCAAATTAACACAACGATGACAAATTTTTTGAAAATTTTTGAGGAAAATTTTCAGATTTTGGTCAAGGAAACTTTAAGAAGTCATGGAAAATGCCATGGAAAGTCATGAAATTTCAAAAGCTCCAAAGAGTGCGAACCCTGCTATCTCCCTTTCCGGAGGTACTCCCAATATGTGGGCATATGGGCATATGGCATATGGGTTTTGAGGTTCTAGTTTGGGTTTCATTTTTGCTCCTCTCGCTGTTCCCCTGATCATTTTGAAGGTTCAGGCATAGAAAAATGGTATCTGTTTACGCTTTATATATCAATAAACCCTTGCAGCACATCCCTATCCAAAATTTTCGGGGGTACACCCCCCCCCCAGCAGCGATTTATTGGTGCAATTTTTTTTATACTTCCTGGGGTTGTATTAAAGGCTGTCAGACAGCAAATAAGACAAAAGGGAAACTTACTTAGTTACGGTTGTGTGAAGATCTAAGAACCATTCTTGTAGATGTTGGTTCTGATACAGGTGGCTGTCGTGCCTCGGTGATGTCATCGTCTGAAGGATCATCAACATCATTTGTGACATCCATCTCGTGGATTTTGTTGTAGTCACGAATGGAACGAACCGTAAACATTTCTTCTGGAATGTCC